TCTTCGACCAAGACTCACTATCAAGATTTCGACTGAGAAGGTCTTATGACCTTCGACTAGAAGAAAATACCTCCGCATCGACATCAAAGGCGAGGGACATTTGAATTTGAATTATTGGAGGGAAAGACGGATTTTGCCAGCAGTTAAAGGCAGGCAACGTGGCTGGAAGCTAGAGGTCGAGGGACATGCAGAGGACACTTGTCCTCATCTTAGAGCAGAACCACCCCTCGACGGTTACATAATTTTAGTATAAAATTGGAAATCTGTGTAGTTTTTCTGGATGTTCAACCTATTGTGCTAGTTACTCAAATATTGTCCAAGTACCCGCTGTGTGAGAAAGGATAAACTGAGAAATGTACGTTGGAAACACCACTTTTCATTAATAAAGTCTTTTTACATTGTTTTAATCTTATTTTGTAAAGTTACTTTCCTACATCTTTACTTGCATTTCTATTGACTTTCTTACTTTCCAAAACTCCAAGTATCTTGTCTTGGTCGAATGTGCGTTCTTCCTGGATTTCCTTTTTATTTTACATCAACCTAGTATAAAAGTTAGCATATGTTCTGGGATCAATCTGATCGATCCTGCGAGTAACCAAAAGGACTTTCCTTTTGGAGGATCAGCGGTTGTTTACCAAAAACTACGGTAAACACACTCAGGTCCCTCTTTCTATTACAAACTTTTCTGATGCTGATTGGGGGTGCAAACCTTGATGATAGAAAATCCACTTCTGGATCCTGCATATTACTAGGCCCTAATCTGGTTTCATAGGGGTCAAAGAAACAAACTCTATTAGCCAGGTCCAGCACAGAGGCATAATATATGAGTCTTACTAATTCTACTGCTAAAGTGCTATGGATTCAGTCTTTACTTACAGAATTGAAAATTCCCTTCACCACTCTAGTTCTCTTGTGTGATAACCTTAGCATTGTAGCCCTATCTCATAATCCTATCTTACATGCCAAAACCAAGCATATGGAGCTTGATATCTTTTTTCTAAGGGAAAAGTGTTGAATAAAAGCCCGGTTGCGAAGCACATCCATGCCTTTGATCAGTATGCTGACTTACTCGCCAAGACTCTGTCTCCTCTCAAGTTTTTGCAGCTCAGAGGCAATTTACATGTTCTGGATAAAACAACTCTGCTGCAGAAGTGACCTGGGTTTCTAGGGGAACTATTAGAGTAAGTGGTAGTAAGATATCATGAGTATATTTGTAATGTCACTGTGCTGAGTCAACAAACTTGGGTAAGATATATATATATATATATATATATATATATATATATATATATATATATATATATATATATATATATATATATATATATATATATATATATATATATATATATATATATATATATATATATATATATATATATATATATATATATATATATATATATATATATATATATATATATGCTTTCTCTAACCATTTATGTGACTAACTAAGTCTTTTTGTTATTAAATGAGAATGATTCTCTCTTTTCTTTCTCTTTCTTTATATCCTAGTTCACTTTCTAACACCTTCTACTTCTACTACAACTTGAGTGAATCAATCGATGTAAGGTTGTAAACTCCCTCTTGCTCATTGTATACCAATGCTTAAGACAACTATAGTAACCAACTATCTCTTATGGGAGGTAAAATGGGCGGCAAGCCAATTGCAAAAATCCACCCACGAGTCAATGCAAGTTTCAAGAAGACCGTTGAACTACAGTCTAGCCAGTAAAACTAGCATTAGTTCTAATAGTTTTCACTTGGAAGCTTTATCGGTGCTGTAGTAGCTGAGCCGATCGTTGACAAGTTGGACGTGTTCATCATGATCTTCTTTTCCATTATATTACCCCAATTTGGGAGACTTTTGCATTGAAATATGGCTCTTGCTTTCTAAGATTGAAATATGGATCTTGCTTTCTAAGATCCTGACTCATAAAGGATGTTTAGGTTGCACCTGAACCGAGTGATATTTTTTGTGATTCGAGGATGTAGCATAGATGCCTTATTCTCCGCTCAGACTCTGGGGAGGGGAAATAGTGTGAGATCTCAAGTCGTTCAACAATAAGAGGAGTTTGAAACCTAAGCGGAAGTACCTGGACTGTCCTTTCTCTTGGAGAAGGAAGGATTAAATCTAGTTGATGAGGAACATTGATACCGAAGTTTTCTTTTCCAAGAGGAGTGGTGTTCAGTCGATTGTGGTTGATGATGCTACGTCAATAACATCCAGAGCGGCTTCGTGTGCAGTAGTGAAATAAGTAGCTCTGAAACCATACATTTCCAGGGATCGAAGAAGTCAAAAGTATCGAGAATTGTAAATCTGAAGAATCAACAAGTCGTTATCGGTGTTGAATTTAATTTTATTGAATGAGACTGAGTTTTGGATTCGATTTACTGGATCTCCGATTAGAAGTTAAAGATCAATTCACACAGGGAAACCAAAGCAGAGATGGAGTGTAGTAGAAAACACATGAATCAAAAGTCGTTTCCCACACACCATTAACATGTTTCAGAAACAGAAATAGAGAGAGTTGTGATGGAGTGGAAATTCTGGTTCGACAAAGCGGAGGTGTACCTATAAGGTTATCACTTAAATGCTCAAGTCAATATGTGAAAGAGTATTGAGTATTAATATTGTGTTTGAAACTTGTTATCTAAAGTATCTTCATTATATATATGAATCTTGCTTTCTAAGATCCTAACTCATAAAGGATGTTTAGGTTGCACCTGAACCGAGTGATATTTTTTGTGACCCGAGGATGTAGCATAGATGCCTTATTCTCCGCTCAGACTCTGGGAGGGGAAACAATGTGAGATCTCAAGTCGTTCAACAATAAGAGGAGTTTGAAACCTAAGCAGAAGTACCTGGGCTGTCCTTTCTCTTGGAGAAGGAAGGATTAAATCTAGTTGATGAGGAACATTGCTATCTATCAGACGTGGAATGCAGATAACTGCGTGATGAACTTAAGGCGTAGATCTCCTGTACTGACGTGTAAGATATTGAGAGATCAACTGTGTGAGAATAACACAATGAAGACTGATATATAGAGGGATTTACAATTTATTACATGTTATAATTGACGTGAGACTTATATACAAGTATAAATACATATTTTATCACACCCGCGTAGTTGAAGCGGGATGTTGACTGACACTTAGATTGTTATGAAAATTATCGAAGAGAACTCTTGGGAGACCTTTGGTGAAGATATTAACAATCTGGTGCCGAGAAGGGATATGAAGAACGCGAAAGAGGAAAACATGTTAATTGATAGAGAGAGAAAGAGAGACGTGACACGATGTTGAACACAACAGGGAGTGGCGTGGCGAAAGCAGAAGGGGCTGCAACAACGACAATGTTGGAAAAGAAGCTATGACGGAGGTGCTGGAGTATGAGCTACAACGATGGCGGTGCTGGAGGAGGATTACGACGATAGTGCTGAAGAAGAAGCTACGGTGGAGGTGCTAGAGTAGGAGCTACAACATTGTCGGTGCTAGAGGAGGAGTTACGATGGCAACAGTGTTGGAGGATGAGCTACGATGGCGGCAGTGCTGGTAGAGAAACTACAGAAGCGGCAAAAACGATGTTTGAGGAGGAACTACAACGACAACGATTGTCTAATTAAAATTTACTAATTTGTTTATTCATCAAAATTATTTTAAATTATCAGTATAATATGACGGAATGCACGTTATTTATTGAATATTTGTGAAAAATATTTTATAATGTCAATGTATTATCTATTTTCTTGTATTATAATACAAAATTTCAATTAATTATATATGTTTTATTTTAATTGATAGGTAATTTGATCAAAATTTAATTGATATTCACCATATAAATTTTTTTATATAGTCAAAACTGTTTAATTTTAATTTTAATTATTTTAATTATTTTTACAGTATTACGTATGATTGTGATATAGATGTAATTTTTTTAAATATTAATAGTGCATACTAATTAATTGCAATTTAATATATCATTTTTTAATATTTCGTGACAAGCTTTTCCAAAAAAATAAATAATTAACTTGAATTTTCTATATCAAATTTTGGAATAAAAATATTATGTTAATAATGCATACCAATTAATATTGATAATATATAAGAATTTAATTGATTTATATTGATTGTGTAAAGCAGTTTTATACCGTCATTAAATCGCAGCCGTTAAATATTATTGAAATTTAATTTTTATTTTAATTATTTATAAAATAATATTTATAAATAGGTTTTTTTGCACTAACTGTGTAAAAATTTATACACCGACCGTACATAATAATTAATTTTTATTTTTAATATTTTGTGAAAATCTTTTCCAAAAAAATTAATTTGGATTTTATATATTAAATTTAGAAATAAAAATATTATGTTGATCCTAATAAAATCGAGATCAAATTGAGATTGTTATTTAGATCTTATCAAGTATTTTTGGACGATTCTGATTCCATCATTTATAATTTTGGTATGGGTTATTGTATTTGGAGATTAATTATTATACACAGGCAATGCATCACAAGCACTCATAAATATTATTTTATAAATAATTAATAAATATTAAATCTCAAAAAATATTTAATGATCACGATTTATTGACAATATAAAACCAATATATACTATCTGTGTAAAAAAATTTATATAATCAATATATCATAACTATTCACAAATATTACTTTTTAAATAATTAAAATAAAAATCAAATTTCAATAAATATTTAACGGCCATAATGCATCCATGCATATCAATTAAATTTAAAAAATAAATAAATCCGTACTTATCCTTTATCAAGATCAATTTTGTTTGTTTATAATATTTTTGGATGGTTCAGATCGATTTTGCTTATTTATAATATTTTTGGACGGTTCAGATTCATTTTATTGAATTTACGATGTGTATAAATAAATGAGTTTCAAAATATTTTTCGCAAAAAAGGAAATCATAATTCTTTTGTTGTTTAGCCTTAAAACAACACTGCAAATTTACGATATTCTTTCAGTCACATGAATGCTATATTGTCACTCCTCAAAGAAATATTCAATCCTGACAAATATGAACGCTTTATCATAGTAATGGAAGTTCTTATTCTTATCGCCGCCTTCTTCGCATTAATCTGTTACCATCGGCTCAAATACGGAACGTTCTTCCCTCTCCCTCAGTCTTCCTCCGGCGATGTAAGGGATTTACAGTTACAGCCAACAACGGTGGAGTTCCACCGCTACCACCACAGTCACACACAGGGTTTAAACGAGTCAGTTATAAACATAATTCCATCATTCATCTACTCTACTAACAATGAACAAAAAGAAGAATCTCCACGTGATTGTGCGGTTTGTTTGGTTGAGTTTAAAGACGATGATTATGTTCGCAAACTTCCTCTTTGTTCCCACACGTTCCATCTTCATTGTGTTGATACTTGGCTTCGCTCACACCCTAACTGTCCTCTTTGTCGCTCATGTCTTCGCTGTGATTTTTCTGAGTTGCCTTTCAGACCTCTCATGTCCGAGAGAATCCGCCCCTCATCGGTGATGCAGATCGCCCTCCCCACTCTCCCCACACGAGGATCGGTTTAGCAAATTTGGGTTTGAGTCGGCAGAGAGCAGTGGACAAGTTTTAGGGTCTGCGTGCGCTGCTTATTCTTACTAAGCATGAGTATTATTCTTGTTCTTTGTTTACAAATATCAACTCTTCATTACCCCCTATACCATAAAACATTGTGTACTTTTGTTTTTCGTATACAAATTATTCTATTAAATAGCATTACTCCATACAGATTCTTATTATTATTCATTGATTTCTCTTGGTTTTTTTTAAAGTATTCATAACTTATAAAGTTAATTTGAAGTTATTACTTCTCATGAAGTTCTTTTCATTAAATTTTATTTACATGGAGATTTTTTTAAGGAAAAAAAAAGAAGTAATATAGAAATATTATTCAGACTTAAAATATTATACCTTAAAAGAAATCAATATCTAATTTTTGTTGCATATCTTTTGTAATATATGTTGTATTTGTGAAATACAATAAAAGGGAAGGGCATGCTTACGTGGATGGTTGCAAGACACCTTATTAATTTTGAATCACTAATGAATGTTTATTCCAATCCCTAGGCTGAAATATATATATATATATATATATATATATATATATATATATATATATATATATATATATATATATATATATATATATATATATATATATATATATATATATATATATATATATATATATATATATAAGAAATTTCATAGGTCAGATATTGGGGAGGAAAAAACGATTTCTCCTACTTTCTCTACGAATTTGTGGGAGTATGGGAAATCAATTCTTTTTCCATTGATGTCATATTTTAATTGTTTTTTGAGAATGTTTTGTCTATCACATATTAGCGAAGTGAAACAATTAATGAACATGACTCTGGATCGAACAACCCAAGTCATTGTCGAGAGACTCGGGAGGACGTCCACTTGGTTCTTTCTTGGCCTCTTAGGTTGTTTCATTATGGGCCCTTCAAGATTCTGTTTTCTAGGTCCAATAAAGATTTCTAAATCCAAAGTTCCTTAAGCACGAGGCCTAGGAAGGGCGGAGTCTCTCAACCGTTACTTGAGAAGACATGCAACATTTATTGTATAAGCATATTGGCTCTTGTCTCTGGAAGGCACGAATAGAGTGTGTACATCCTGGAATATGTATGTCGGGTCGAGACCTATAGTCGGCTTAAGAAGGGTGGCGAGAAGGCAAGAAAGCGTGGATATGTGTGTACTTTCGGTTAGCGTCCTCAGGACCAGGGGCTAGGTGGCGTCCTATCTTCGGGTGATGCTCTCCAGAATGCGACCTAGGCGTCAGGGGAAAGGTCGCGTGTAGAGCCTGAATGTAACTCCCGAAATGGTCTCCAGTTCATTAACACCAGCGTTACAGGAGATTAATTACGCCAATCATGGCTGACCGAGGACGTTGCCATACAAGTGTAACTGAGAAAAATGAAGGACCACTTCATGAATACATCTCTTAATGAAGGCTAGAACAAAAGCTATATAAGGGGCTCCCGTCAGAGGGATAAGCAAGATACTTTTCTTGAGACAATACGCACTGCTAGCGTAGCTCTCAAATCCCTAATCATACTTACAGAAAATCTACCTTTGAGGCTCTCCCTATTCCTTTAGGGAAGCTAACCGTTTAGTGTTCCTACGCAAGAACATTTGGCGCCCACCGTGGGGCCTCAATAAAACTGTTCCATGCCACACAATAAACCACATTCGTCTGAATGTCAACCGATAAGGACCCCCCAGATATGGCGCAACTATTGCCCATGGTGGAGGCCATTGGGAAACAAAATGATACCTTGCAAGATAGTGTAGCAGACGTGCAACAAAAGAGTCAGGGGGAGGACTCTCCAAAAGAGGAGCTTATGGATCCTCAACCACTCTCACAAGCAATATGGTACGATCAAGTCCTTGACAACTTCAAGGCACCATCACTCACAACTTATGATGGCAAGTCTGATCCTCAAGAGCACATTATTGTTATCAACAATCAGATAGCAATAAATAGGCCTTATTGATTCCCTGAAATGTAAACTAATGGAAGGAACCTTCAAGGATGTAGCCTTAAGGTGGTATATGAGTCTACCCCGACTATCTGTGGAAAGCTACACAGATCTAACCAAGAAGCCGGTACAACACTTCTCGGCCAACAGACATTACAAGGTGTCAGCCACTACCTTTTTTAGTGTTCAACAGAGGCAGTCAGAATCCTTGCGGGAGTACTTGGCCAGATTCAATGAAGAAACCATCAAAGTATCGCACCCTAATCAAGAGTTGTTCGTGGGAGCGTTTCAGCATGGTTTATAGGATGGGTAATTCAATGTGTCCCGAGCTCAGAAACCGACCTCCAACATGGAGGAGATTATTAACAAAGTAAAATGTTACATAAAAGGAGAAGAGAGTAACCGGGAGAAACGCTCAAGGGACATCACTGAAAGATCCAAAATCAAGGAAGACGGGCAGGGAGATGCTAAGAACCTTCCTGGTACGCTGCTCGGGAACGCACCCAGAAACGTCCTGGAGGAAGGGTCGGTCAGAGACCAAATCACAAACCCTTGGTTTCAGAGGAAGATTTGACTTCGTTGAATACTCGGAGGGGCGACATACTGCAGGAGGTTGACCACTTGAGTATGATCCCAACAACCCTAGCTCGTCCTAAAGGGGCATACACCATGATGGGAAAGGAAATCGAAGCTTGGTGTAGTTATCACCGACTTCGAGGTCACCACACCGATGACTGCCACCAACTAAAGAAAGAAACTGAAGCGTTGATACAGAGGGGACATCTTTTATCCTATGTGAAAGACAATAAGTCATAATCTGGTAAGAGAGACTCTCAAAGAGACGACTCGAGACCGAAAGAATCTTCTCACAAGAAGGGGAAAGGCCCTGAGGAAGTCCACAAAACAAAATCAACTCCCCATACTCTCAACACCATCATTGTCGGGATCGCTGGAGGTGGGGAAACGAGTTAAGCTAAGAATAGGTATACCCGGGTTGTGACGCATGTGTCAGAAAAATCACCTGTCAGCCAAGAACGCGACCTAAATCCGGTGAGCTTCTCCAAACTAGATGTGGGAATTCTTGCCCACGAAATGACTCGATGGTTATTAAAGTCCAGATCTGTGATTGGAGTGTGAAGAAGGTATTGGTAGACCTGGGAATTTCAGTCGACGTTCTATATTGGGAAGCTTTCAAGGGAATTTAGTTTGACACGATTTTCTGCCATTCAATGACACCTTGGTCGGATTCTCAGGAGAGTAGGTGCAGGTACTAGGCTACCTGTCAGTACTAACTACTTTTGGAAATGGTGAGAATACCAAATAAATAAGAGTAAGATACCTCATTGTTAACGCTGCCTCACCTTATAACATCATCATTAGAAAACCATATTTCAACTCCCTAAAGGCTGCCTTATCCACCCTTTACCTCACTATGAAGTACCCGTTGGGGGACAGTCGGGTAGGGGTGATCAAAGGCGACCAAGGATTAGCATGAAAATGTTACAAGGATAACTTAAAGTTGAAGAAGAAAGGATGAACTGAGGAACTCGACTGCTCACATGAGCTCAGAGTTAACTTGGTCGACATTGTTCCGCGATATGACTCATTGAAGGATGGCTTGTCTCCTCATAAAGAAACTAAAAAGTCCAAATCGGGAATATATCGTCTAAGCCTTTCTCTGGAAGAAGAGAAGGAGATTACAATAATATTAAGAGAGAATGCTGACTTATTTGCATGGAAGCCGTCAAATATGCCGAGGATAGACCCCAATTTCATGTGTCATCACTTGGCTCTGAACTTGGATACTAAACCAATTTCTCAGCAGAAATGTAAAGGCAATGACGAGAAGAGGAAAGCTGATAGAGAGGAGGTCGGGAAATTACTAGATACTGGTTTTATTAAGGAAATCAAGTACCCGACCTGGTTGTCTAACATGGTGATGGTAAATAAGAAGAATGGGAAATGGCGGATGTACGTTGATTTCACAGACCTCAACAAAGCATACCCCAAAGATCCTTACCATCTGCCTCAAATAGACAGACTCATTAATGAGACCTCTGGGTACCTGTTACTCAGCTTTATGGACGCTTACTTCGGGTACAATCAGATTCGTATGAGCCTGACTGACGCTCCAAAGACAGCTTTCATGACGGATAAAAGAAATTACTACTATGAGGCGATGCCTTTTGGCCTCAAGAATGTAGAAGCTACTTATCAAAGGTTGATGGACATGGTGTTCGCTACCCAAATCAGAAGAAACCTTGAAGTTTACGTGGATGACATGGTGGTAAAAACCACCTCAGAAAAACGACATATTATGGATCTCACAGAGACTTTTGCATCAATAAGGAGTCACAACATGAGGCTGAACCCAGATAAGTGTATCTTTGGAGTGCAATCCTGAAAATTCCTGGGGTTTATGCTTACAAACTAGGGAATTGAATCTAATCCACACAAGTGCTAGGAAATTATAGACATGTGAAACCCATCTTCAAAGAAGGAAGTTCAAAAACTAACAGGGAAGCTAGCCACCTTGTCTCGATTTTTGTCTTGTGCATGTGATAAATCTATTAATTTCTTTGCAACTATCAGAAAGTCAAAGGAGTTTGAGTGGACAAGTGCATGCGAAGAAGCTTTCCAATGTGTGAAGCTTTTTCTATCTTCTCCTCTTATTCTAGCGAGGCCTAAAGAGAATGTTCCTTTAATCTTGTACTTGGTCGTATCTGACAAGGCCATGAGCTCCACCCTCGTATTAGAGGGGGAAGATGGGGAGAGACTAGTATATTTTGTTAGCTAGGTTCTAAAAGAAGCCGAGTTGCGATACCAGAAGATCGAAAGATTGGCATAAACGTTGATGGTAATAGAGAGAAAGTTGAGGCATTACTTCCAGGGTCACCCCATAATAGTAAGGATTAACTACCCAATAAAACAAATATTGAAGAATCCAGACTTAGCCGGAAGGATGGTTACATGAGCCATGAAGCTGTCCGAATATGACATCGAGTTCACTCCAAAGACAAGCATCA